AACATTACACTTGCAAAATCGGAACCTTCAAATTTCCATTATAGCTGAAAGAATATAACTATTTGTGATTTGTTCTTTTTTTTTAATTTAAAACGTGCATATTAATAAAATGAAACCTGAAATCAATGAGAATACAATTTTCATATGTTTATAAATGCTTGTCAGTATTTGTCAATGTTGTCCACGAGCTTAAGGGACAATTCTCGTATGTATTGATTAAACGATAGAGTGATTGATTAGTTTTTGATTATACGTGAAAAATAGTGACCTAGTATATATTTCTCTAAATATGTCGAAAGTTTGGAGTGTGTCCTAAATTTTCGTGAACAAGTTTTGTTAATTAACTTTTCTTTGAATTATGTATAAAAGTAAAATAAAACTGAGTATCGTTCGTAATGGTTGAAATATTTTAATACTTCGAGGATTTTTTTTTTTTCGGGGCTGGGGTGGGGGTGGGGTGGTGGAGGGGCAGTGTTAATTCAAATAAATATTTATTAAATATCATTATGGAAATAAACATAACCCTATTTTACTTAAATATTTTGCATATTATTTATTATTGAATAAATTATGCAAATTCATACATATACATTATTCTGAAACCTTTTTGCACTAAAATATGATCGCATTCCGGGTATAAAAATCCAAATTGGTGATAAGATATTTTCTTGTATGAAACTTTTTTTATGACTAAATTTCTGATTTGTTGGAAGTGCCATGTTGTTAAAATTAATTAAAGAAAAGGTTGTGGTCGTTCATGATAATTTTGAAATATTGGTCAAAATGTGCAATTTTCAGGCAGGAATCTGTAAATTTGATCTTGAATTCTTTGATTTATCTTCATTCCTTGATAAAACTTGTTGAATGAATGAGGAAAATTTGTTCTGAAAATATAAATATATTCCTATAGTTTATATTCCTAGCAAATCATTATCGGTAACTATACAAACAAACCATATTCTACATGTAAGTGCAAATATGTAGGGCTAATGATCCAAAATATTAAAGTTTACAAATGAGTGCATTTGAAAAATAAATCTAAATATCACTAAACCACAAGAAATAGCCCATCAAGAATCTTTCTTAAGAAAAAAAAATCTGTAAACATTTTTAAGGAATGACGATTAATTTGAATTGGGTCATTTAAATACGAGAATGGTTGTCAAAATATAGATCTTGAAGAAATATCATTAGGTTTTCTAAAGCTATATGTATCTAAAATGCTTTATGTTCCAAGTCTTCTGATGGAGAAAAGTGTATGGGGCATATGTCTGTCCCCTACATGCAAGATAATTATGTTGACATGCAAGTTACAAATCGTGTATGAGAATACGATTTTAATATGGTCAAAATCACGTACATAAATATGGAAGCGTAAATGGCTCTACACTTGTTGTATTATAACTTTGTATATTGTCTTATATTTTATCGACATATCAACATATAGAGTGTTATGCCTCCTTATATATGCACATATTTTGAATAGTATTGAGATTTCTTAATATAATTGAAGGCAACTCCTTTTTACAATAGATTTAATTGCTTTAACTTTTATCGACTAAAACATCATACTTATTTTGAAATATCGATCAAAACAAAATATTTAATCATGTCAATATAGTATTGTCGATAAGAAGAAATAAATATGAACTTATATCGATATCGGTATATGAATATTTTCGAGAAGAAGTCAGAAAAAAAGGTGTTTTTGAATTAACTTGGTGGGGGCTGGAATTCTACATGTAATGAATCTTCACTTCACTTTGGAAAGCTTATGTACCATGTATTTGCTATTGTGTATGATTATAGGCTGAAACAAAACTCTAAAATACTTGAAAAAGGGAGATCGAGAGACATCAACAGTTAGATTATTATCATTGTCATAGAGGGTTATTGTACCCATAACCATCTGTTATATTCTATCATTGTTCACTGCATATATCTCTTGAGTTCAGTGGGAGGTTGTTAATCGCTAATGAAGCGAAAATAGAAAGTAACACTATATATAACAAAAGTAACAACGATTATATATGTACTTTGTAAGTATTTGATGTTGTTACATGTACATTCTGTGTTATATAAAGAATCTGACTCATGAATGCGGAACTCAACAGTCTCGAAACATCCCTCCTTGCATGAAAATATAAACACCAGATATAACTTCTTATGTTTGAAATTATATAAAATAATTTGTGATTTCAGCCGATCTGTATAAGTTTAGTCACAAAGTTTAAAGGAGGAAAGTGTAGTGTCGACCATCATAAATATATAACAAGCATCACACCCAAGGATTTAATAATCTAACTGCGAGAATTTTCTTAACTTTGGGGACATATTAGTGGATCTCTGTTGTACTCAGTTTTTGTTTTTTTAAGCTGGATGAGGGGCACAAAGATACTCTTGTCTCCCCCTCTTTAAAAGGGTGATCGGTGCGATAGTCCACTATGGATCTGTAACTTTTAATGTGTCTTCAGCTCCCTTTTTCAAAGCTAGTGTATACTTTTTAATTTGATTCAGCCTTTAATTGTACATGATACATACGCTTTCCATGAATTCCGAGTGAGGTTAAGGTTCAATGGAATTCCCGACCCCGCCAAAATTATTCAAAAAAACTTTATTCTGAGTTCTATATCGACATGATAGAATATTTTGTTTTGATCAATATCTGAAATTCAATACATTATTTCAGTCGATAAAACTTAAAGCAAGAAAATATACCGAACAAAATAATTTGCCTTCAATTATATTGAGATATCTTAAAACGATTTAAATTATGTGCATAAATAAAGAGGTATAACACTTTAATTTGTTGATAAGTCGATAAATAAAATTTTATGTTTCATAAAATGTTTTATATACAATCTTTTTACATTGTGTTTGACTTATGTAAATTAAAATTGCAGTTATTGAATTTTATATACTGGGGTCGACTGGATCGGGATCGAACTCATGTTTGGATCGGGTTCGACTTGATCGGGATCGAGTGCTCAATTAATTCAATTTTGCAGAAACACGAGGTGAAGTCAATTTAGAGAGATCAAAATTCACGTAAAACTTATTTTTCTATTCCTATAACACCGCCTCAGATGTGTTACCAATTTGAACAGTTGATTGATTGTGCACTGAATTTGTCCCAATTGATAGTCGGCATGGAGGTAAAAACTTGATATCCCAAGCCGCGCACTGTAGTGCAGATAGGTCAATTCTTCTTTGAAGAGTAGATTTGTGTTTATAACTGAATGAACCAGATTTGGATAATTCACAGCTACATAAACATACATTTAAATTGTTAATTCGAGCCAGGGGCGGACTCAATACGCCCGAACTAGCCAGCTCAAGAGAATGCAAGCTGGTCAGCAGACATCCATCCAAGTAGGCGACCATTACAATATTAAAGTGATTGACATAATAAACTTCTACATGATCAATGTCACCAGTTTACCATCAATAATTAATTTGGCACCACTGCAGTTCCTGGAACCCAGACATGAAATACTTGGCCAATGATGGGGTTCACCTAAAAGACAGCAATCACAACGGATTTATCTCGACCATCTGTTCATGAATACCTTCATGTTACGAATTTGGCATTCTCCACTATTGTTATGAATAAGTAAACAAGATGTTTCCTGTGATATGAATCGTTAAAATAATGATTCGATGAATGATTGAATGAATGATATGTATTGGCATTTATTCTTATTTACTTGTTATTATTGATTAATGTTATTTGATATTTATTATGAGCTAGGTGCAAATTGTTTACCTCGCTCCGAATTTCCTCTATGTTTTGAGGGATACGTAATGTAAACACACCATTAATTGGTCTACAGATGTTTCTATATAGTACTGAATGTGCTTACCTTTTATAATATGGATAAATAATAAATCCATTCATTGATAATTAGAGTAAAACCTTATAAGTACACTCTGTTTTTCATACTAAGCGGCAAAAGCTATAAAGTACATTCGGAACACCTCGGATGCGTGTAATAGTTAAGTGCATCCGAAGTCTTCCAGCTATTTGACGTAATGGCGCCAAATCTCATGCATTGAGTGAATTGACGTCATAAAGGGTGTAAAGGCTTTATAAACGAGCCCCCAGCGTCTAACGGTCAGACGCCTGCGGTCTCACCCACGGAAAGGTTTACCTGACGGACCAACTCCGAACAAGGCAGTCTCCCCATCACAAAGGGTTCTGTTTTAGACAGAGAGACAAACAAATTGACATGATGGGTAATTATTAACCTGAATTTGTTAACAACGTTTGATTGCTTTATTCATTCATTTTACTCAGACACAAGTAGTGGTCTGAACTCATCGTTATTGTTTACTGTTGAATAATATTTACTAAAGCACAAGAAGTGACCTGAACTTGATATTTATAACTCCTGACATTACTACTAACAACAAACAAATGCATGGTGCATCGTATTGAGTTTTGTGATGTTAGCATAACTTTTTGTCCCTATACAATTAGTTGTTTGCTACAACCTTTGAATGTTAACAAATGCTAAACGCATTATATTTAGATATTAGCATAACTTTTTGTCCCTATACAATTAGTTGTTTGCTATAACCTGACATTTTATATTTATACTCACTAAGTGAAGAAATCACCAGTTGGAACTTTATTCAAGACCTGAAGACATTAGGTCTATTTGCATTTATTAAAGGGTTTGATTAAGGGTGGTTTATAAATTAACACTTGTTGGAAAGGGTGGTTGGTTTGTTTTTATTTCAGGTGAGGACCGCAGAGCCAAAGAAGAATATTTTTGTATGTTTATTGAATAAAATTTAATAAAATATTGAAAACAAATTATATCCTGTTGTCTTTCGTTCAACATTCAGATTAAGGAGCCCCACAATGTTACGCCGCTAAACATATAAAGCTGTAAGTCGTAACAATTGGTGTCAGAAGTGGGATAAAGTCTTTCTTTTATTCTGGTTGATCGAAAGTCTACATCAGGATCTTAAAATATTGACTCGTAAGTCTTTTTAAGTCTATTGACAACGACAAGCACATTGAAAAATAAACACATAAATTTGTGTTGCAATAGCCAATAACAAAAGTCAAAATGTCAAATAATAACAGCCAATTTGAAGCTTCTGAGGAGAATGGGTGCAGGTCCTGCAATCTGAATGATGACATCACTTGTGATGAGTATCAACGGTCCAGTACCTCTTCTCCTATACAGAAATCAGGCTCTGACAAGGCTGAAAATATAAATGAACTTTTGTTAAGAGCTGTAGAAATGATGAACAAAGAAGTCTTAAACATGAGACAAGACATAGATGAACAATTGTCAAACATGAGACGAGATTCTCGTCAATTACAAGAACAAGTTGATGAGTTAAAACAAAAGGGGACCCCCAAAGATAATGCAATCAGATATCAAGTGCATGGGTGTAGAGAGTCCCTGGATTTTCATGATCAGTCTCCTGTCATTGGGGCTGGGGAAAGTATCAGTCAAATAAATGTTTCTGCAAGGGAGATAAATTACAATGGAAATAGAGTTTGTAATGATATGTACATGTAATCCGTTTTTATCCGATTCCGTTTATATCAGGTTGTTAATGTTTAGTCTAAAATGTAACTCTGGGTCAGAATAAAAAAGCATGCAGCACGACATGTCTTGAGTTTGGCTAATAGGAACATTACAGGGTGTCAGAAGGAAAAGAAATGGAACACATTCGTCCTCCACCAGAGTTAGACTTCTCTACTACAGACGGACATTTACCGGAGAGATGGAGAAAGTGGGAACAAACGATGAAATTGTACCTGAACATTGCCATGCATGAGAGAAACGAAAAAGATAAGTGTAGTGCTTTTCTCTATATCATTGGTCAAGAAGGCAGAGAAATATTTAACACTATGACAATACCAGATGAAGATATCGATAACATTGATACACTGTTTACGAAGTTCAAAGACTACTGTGCTCCTAGAGAAAATATTACAGTTTGGAGACATAGGTTTCACACCAGAGTTCAAGGTAAAATAGAAACCATTGACCAATATGTCACAGACTTGAAAATAATTTCCAAAAACTGTAAATTTGGTGCATTGGAAGATGAAATGCTAAGAGACAGAATTGTATGTGGAGTTTATTCAGAGAAAGTCAAAGAAAGATTACTCAGAGACAATGAACTCACATTACAGAAAGCTTTAAGTATGTGTCGTGCTAATGAAGAGTCACAGAATAGATTAAAAGATCTACAACATGAGGAACATGTGGATGCTGTGAAATATAAACAGTCTGTCAAAGCGTCAGTAGGAAACAAATTTCCGTCAACCCAGAAATATACGAAGGGAAATGTGTATCAACCCAAGTAGCAAGGTGTGTCAAGTAAACCTATCAACACAAAATCCTTTACATGTGGAAAATGTGGAAGCCAGCATGAGAAAGGAAAATGTCCGGCATTCGGGATAAAATGTAACAGATGTCACAAGTTAGGACATTTTGCATCAAAGTGCAGGACTAAGTCTATTCATTCCAATGAACTAGAAACAGATGAAATGACAAACAGCTGTGAGACAAGTGAGAAGTTTTTTATTGGTGCTATTTCAAGTGGAAACAGTCAAGATGAAATCTACTCAAGTTTGGAAATAAACAACATTCCTATCAAGTTTAAGTTGGACACAGGCTCTCAAGTGAATATCATCACAGAGAAAATCTTCAAGAAACTAAACAGCACACTCACCAAAACTAATGTGAAACTTACGAGTTACTCAGATGATTCCATACCTATAGCGGGAAAGTGTGTTCTTCCATACAAAGATCAACAACTTGAATGTTACGTTACACACGCAAATCAACCATTAGTATTAGGATATAAGAGTTGTTGTGAACTAGGGCTGATCAAAGTGACACTAGCTACAGAAAAGCTACAGAGTGATTTTTCACCTATTGAGGAATTTCCAAGTGTTTTTACAGGATTAGGATGCTTGAAGGAACCATACACCATCCGTGTTGACAGTAGCGTACCACCTGTTGTTCATAGTCCTAGACAAATACCAGTAGCATTCCGTGAGGAACTCAAGAAAACTCTAGATGATATGGAAGCCAAGGAAGTGATCAAGAAAGTTGACCAACCAACTGATTGGGTTAATTCTCTTGTGATCGCTGAAAAATCCAAAACAGGAAAATTACGCATATGTCTGGATCCTCGTGACTTGAATGAAGCCATCAAACGTGAACATTTTCAGTTACCTACCATTGAGGACATCACAACCAGATTATCCGGAGCCACAATTTTCAGCAAACTTGATGCAAATAGTGGATACTGGCAAATACCACTAGATGAGGCCAGTCAACTTCTTACAACATTTCATACACCATATGGACGCTACTGTTTCAGACGCATGCCTTTTGGCATAAAGAGTGCACAGGAAGTTTTTCAGAAGAGGATTGCTCAACATTTTGACAGTATTGAAGGTGTTGAAGTGGACATAGACGACATACTTGTGTGGGGGAGAAATAAAGAGGAACACAACAGACGACTAAAAGCCGTACTACGGAAATGCATGGAAATTAACCTTACCCTAAATAAGGACAAATGTCAGTTCAACAAGACAGAGATTGTTTACATAGGACATGTGATCTCCAAGGAAGGAGTAAAACCTGACAGAGAGAAAGTCGAAGCAATAATCAACATGCCACCGCCAACAGATAAGAAAGGAGTCGAGCGTTTGCTAGGAACTGTGAATTATCTTGCCAAATTCATTCCAAACATGTCAGTCATAAATGAACCAATCCGAAGCTTACTCAGAAGTGAAAATATGTTTATCTGGGAGAAACCACAGGAGGATGCGTTCAAGGCTATCAAGGAAATTTTGTCCAAGGAACCAGTTCTTACTTTTTTCAATGTGAAAAACCCTATATGCGTTAGTTTGGATGCTTCAAAATGTGGACTAGGTGCAGTGCTTATACAGGACAAAAAACCAGTTGCTTATGCGTCTAGAGCGTTAACAGAGACTGAGAAACGTTATGCTCAGATAGAAAAAGAACTGTTAGCTGTTACTTTTGGTCTAGAAAGATTCCACCAGTATACTTATGGAGTAAACGTTGTTGTTGAAAATGACCACAAGCCGCTGGAGAACATTCTCAAGAAGTCACTGGTTCAAGCTCCACCGAGGCTACAAAGACTACTACCTCGCCTACAGAAATATTGCTTTGAATTCAAATACACTCCGGGAAAAGATTTGATAATAGCGGACACACTGTCTCGTGCTCATCTACCTACAGTGAAAAAACAGAAAGAGATAGATGATGAAATTGAAGCTTATGTGAATTCTGTGTTTTTTGAGGGGATTCCTATAGCTAAGGATATTCTACAAGATATCAAGAATGAAACCAGGAATGACACAATTCTCAGGGAAGTGATTCATCATATTGAAAATGGTTGGCCAGAATACAGGAATCAGCTGTCCAAACCATTACAAGAATTTTGGAGGATGAAATCTGAGTTAACATCTGTGGATGGAATTGTTATGATTAACGAAAGAATCGTCATTCCAGAAGTTCTACAACCAGAAATCCTTAGATACCTTCATGTAGGACACTTCGGTATTGAAAAAACAAAGGCTCGTGCAAGGACTGTAGTTTATTGGATCGGAATGAATGCAGACATTGCCTCAATGATATCCAAATGCAACACATGCATGGACTTCAGAAAGAAGAATACAAAAGAAACATTAAGACCAACACCCATACCAAATGGACCATGGCAGCTTGTCGGAACTGATCTATTCACACTTAACAATGAAGACTATTTGGTTATCGTGGATTACTACTCCAAATTCTTTGAAATCGCTAAACTTGAAAATACTAGGAGTATAACTGTCATCATTCATATGAAATCTGCATTTGCCCGACATGGCATACCATTTAAAGTAATCAGCGACAATGGACCGCAATATACATCCAGAGAATTCAAGGATTTCGCAAACAAATGGGCATTCAAGCACATAACATCAAGCCCGTACTATCCACAAGGGAATGGTTTAGCGGAAAAAACTGTCCAAACAGCAAAACGTATGTTGGAAAAAGCCAGAGTCGATGGACAGGATCCTTACATTAGTCTACTAGAATACAGGAACACGCCGTCAGATGTTGATTCACCAGCGCAACTACTAATGAGCAGACAACTCAGATCTATTCTACCCATTACCAAAGAACAACTCAGACCTAAAGTCATTCCAGCCGAGAAAACTTATGAAAAAAGAAGAAACTCACAGGATCAACAGAAGAAGTATTTCAACAGTGGACAGAAAGATCTTCCGTATTTGAAACCGGGAAATACAGTTCGATTCCAACACAGAGGACATTGGATGCCAGGATACGTGAAAGATAAAGTTCATGATCGATCGTACAATGTAGAAAACTTAAATGGTGATAAATTTCGTCGAAATCGCAGAGACATCATCAAATCAGAGGAAACGAGTTTTCGAAAAGCTATCTCAGAACATGATGACCTAGATGACTTCAGTGAGACAGAAGTACCCGTGCAGCCAGTACTCGAGAAAAGTGTGCCAGAACAATCGTTAGAGCCGAATCAGCCGATACGAGCAGAAACGTATAAAACGCGATCCGGACGTGAGGTCAGACGACCTAAAAGATTCCAGGATTATGTGTGATGTGATTATGTGAGGGGCATAATAATCCCCAAGTGATGTAATTGTGTGAGGGGCATAATAATCCCCAATGTTATAAAATTTGAGAACTTACCGGTATATTGAAAGATGAATTCATGATTGACTGTATATATTATGTAAATATGTTATACTCTAAATCTCTAACTTTCAGTAAATTATAAATTTGAAATTTTCTATATAAATTAACAGTAAAAGTTTATTTTGTACATTTTATCTTTAAAAGGGGAAAGATGTAATGATATGTACATGTAATCCGTTTTTATCCGATTCCGTTTATATCAGGTTGTTAATGTTTAGTCTAAAATGTAACTCTGGGTCAGAATAAAAAAGCATGCAACACGACATGTCTTGAGTTTGGCTAATAGGAACATTACAGAGTTCCTTCCCCTTTCAATTCTAAACCAATTGTATCTATTAACCCACCTACATTTGATGGGTCAGAAGATTTTGGGGATTATCTAGCCCAATTTGAAATCTTGGTCGATCTACATGGTTGGAATTATAGGGCAAAGTCACTATACCTAGCTAGCAGTTTAGCGGGAGGGGCTCGTGCACTTTTGAGTGAACTCAACGAAGTTCAGCGCAGAGATTATGATTCCCTAGTCAAGATTCTTGATAGGCGATATGGTTCAGTTGAACGATCTGAAATGTTCAGAGCCAAGTTAAAGACAAAAACCAAGGGTGACAAAGAATCTTTATCTGAACTTGCACAATCTATCAAGAAACTTACTAGGCAAGCATATCCTACTGCTGATTCAAACTTGACGAATGTTCTACCATTAGATCACTTCATAGATGCACTTCCCGATCCGGATATGCGCCTTCACTTGAGAGAAAGTAGACCCAGAGACATTAATGAGGCTGAGATATTGGCTATAAGACTTGAAACCCACAAACTGGCTGATGCACAGAGGGTAAAAATTGTCAATGCCATACATCCAGAAATGGATACCAATCTCCTCGCCTCAATCAAGCAAGAAAATAGGGTCTTAAGAGATGATCTCCAATCACTTACAAAAGAGATTAGATCACTCCTTAAAGATGGTCTTGATATAAGACCTAACTTTTCTCATTCAAGCGAGGTGCATCCTCGGTTCGGGAATGCACAAAATGATCGACAGAACAATCAGTTTCAAGTAAGGCAGCCATACAATGCAAATAATTTTGAGAGAAGAAATGCTTACCAAAATAGACAATATCAGAATGGTCGCTTCCAATCCTCAAATCAGGGAAACTTTCCCGTGTCGAATTCAGGGGGCGGAAGTCAGCAAGGCGCAGGGATAGGCCCCAATCATTGTTAAACAAAGTTGAAACAAGAGGACCTCTTCCTGCTGGAAGAAATGAGCATATTAAAAAGAGTCCTCAAAATGCAGTTAATATGACTGAAAATGAAAATTTAATGAACAATAAATCAGAAAATGATATTGAGAACAATAAATCTGAGAATAATGTTAAGAAAATTGTTATGTGTGAAAATACACCTAAAAATGAGAGAGTAGGTGATGTAAAGGGGTGTGGTGAAGAAATTTTTGTAGTGGGCAAAATTGAGAACATTCGAACTACAATGATGGTCGACACAGGAGCTAGTGTAACAATTATTAGCTCCGATTTTGCAGACAGTTCAGAGTTAAAGGGGAAATTAGATTTGAACCCTTCATTTATAAATCTAACCTCTGTTAGTGGGGAGAAAATATCTGTCCTAGGGGAATGCCTAGTGAAAATATGTGTGGGAGATGTTACTGTGAATCATAATGTTTTAGTGGCTAATATCCAAAACAAATGTATTTTAGGATTAGATTTCATGAAAGACCACAACTGTGATGTTCTGTTGAACAAAATGAAACTTAGAATAAAGGGGAAAGATGTTTCTTGCTTTACACATGAAGCTTTGAATAAGCAATGTTGTAAGGTATATTTGACGGAAACTATAGAGTTTCCCCCTCTCAGTGAATTTAATGCCTCGGCTAAAGTGGAAAACCCATTATTTAATGACAAGGTTACTTTGTTAAAGCCTGTGGCAAAATTTTTAGATAAACATGGTGTATTAGTTCCCAAGATTTTGGCAAAAGTTGAAACTGATAGAGTACCTGTTCGATACATGAACTTGGGTGATCAAAGTGTTAAAATTTTCAAAGGGACTGTTGTGGCAAATTTAGAAGATACTTCATTGAAAGTACTCCCCAATCAATAAATGTTTTGACAAAACATGAAATGAAAACAAATGAAAATTTTCCTGAACATTTGAAGTCTGTGTTTGAGAATTCTTGTAAAAATATTGATCAAGAACAACAGCAAAAATTACGAGAATTGCTAACAGAATTTCAGAGTAGTTTCTCAATTAAATTTTCTGATATGGCTAGACCCTTGCACAAACTGACTGAACTAAGTCATAAATTTGTTTGGGATGAAGACTGTCACAAATCTTTTGACAAGCTAAAGCGTGCCCTAACAAGTTCACCTATTTTATCTGACAGGGACTATGGGCAAGGAGGTAAACCACATTGTTAGTTTAACTTTAGATTCTAACGACAACACTAAGAGCTTAAAAATACCTGAAAACTGTTCTGTTACAACCAGATCTTGTGGTTAATCTGCTCTGTCCTTTGATATCCCTACAAAACAAACTGAAAATGTAACAAACAATGAAACTGTTGGTGAGAATAAACCAACATGGTTTTGAAGTAGCTAGATAATACGAATATTTGACATTTGATGATTGTTCGCATGAAATTTTGTTTTCTTCAACATTCTTGCGAAAACGAGAAGAGATTATTTGTGTTGCATTTTTATACAAGTTGATGATCTGTAAATATTTGACCTATATCTAATTATATACATGCATTTATGCATTTACTTCATGCATGTGAGATATTGTTCAAAATACCTTTACTTACCTTTGATTTTTCTCTTCGTACATGTCATGTTGTTGAGAGTCCCTCAGAATACGGAGATCCTATGAAATATATGGATCGGCAATGAAACAGATTGAATTATTTTGACGTTTTAATACTTCACAGAATGTTTGACTTTGTCAATTTGAATGTGCAGTTGTTGCTTTTTCACATATGCAGCAAAACAACGCATAAATAGACCTGCTCATAGTCAGATCAAATGTAATGTTTAACGAGTATTCAAAATTTACTTACTCACGGTTGCATTTCGTCCAGTTTTTGCAAATATTTTGGACGAACTTTGTGAAGATTTGGTGGCGATTCATTTCTCAGCATGAGGATTTGATGTCACGCCTTTTGATAAGTCGTACGAAGACACGTCACGAAATCTACTTTCGTTTTGAAAATACGACAAGTGCGTCGTGTCTATTGAAATTTGAGCATTGTAATAGATTGAATGTTATGTGTTTTTACATATTTGTTAATCTTTAATACGATTTAAAGTTTACTTATGATAAAGTGAACTTACAGTTTAACTTGGATATCCCGAAGACAATATTTCGAGATAATTAGTTGATCGAGATATTCAGGTTTTTGTTGAATGAACGTAAATTTAGATTGTTACATGATATATTTTTGTAGACATTCGAGGACAAATGTTAAATAGAGAGGGGGGCCGTGTTACGAATTTGGCATTCTCCACTATTGTTATGAATAAGTAAACAAGATGTTTCCTGTGATATGAATCGTTAAAATAATGATTCGATGAATGATTGAATGAATGATATGTATTGGCATTTATTCTTATTTACTTGTTATTATTGATTAATGTTATTTGATATTTATTATGAGCTAGGTGCAAATTGTTTACCTCGCTCCGAATTTCCTCTATGTTTTGAGGGATACGTAATGTAAACACACCATTAATTGGTCTACAAATGTTTCTATATAGTACTGAATGTGCTTACCTTTTATAATATGGATAAATAATAAATCCATTCATTGATAATTAGAGTAAAACCTTATAATTACACTCTGTTTTTCATACTAAGCGGCAAAAGCTATAAAGTACATTCGGAACACCTCGGATGCGTATAATAGTAAAGTGCATCCGAAGTCTTCCAGCTATTTGACGTAATGGCGCCAAATCTCATGCATTGAGTGAATTGACGTCATAAAGGGTGTAAAGGCTTTATAAACGAGCCCCCAGCGTCTAACGGTCAGACGCCTGCGGTCTCACCCACGGAAAGGTCTACCTGACGGACCAACTCCGAACAAGGCAGTCTCCCCATCACAAAGGGTTCTGTTTTAGACAGAGAGACAAACAAATTGACATGATGGGTAATTATTAACCTGAATTTGTTAACAACGTTTGATTGCTTTATTCATTCATTTTACTCAGACACAAGTAGTGGTCTGAACTCATCGTTATTGTTTACTGTTGAATAATATTTACTAAGGCACAAGAAGTGACCTGAACTTGATATTTATAACTCCTGACATTATTACTAACAACAAACAAATGCATGGTGCATCGTATTGAGTTTTGTGATGTTAGCATAACTTTTTGTCCCTATACAATTAGTTGTTTGCTACAACCTTTGAATGTTAACAAATGCTAAACGCATTATATTGAGATATTAGCATAACTTTTTGTCCCTATACAATTAGTTGTTTGCTATAACCTGACATTTTGTATTTATACTCACTAAGTGAAGAAATCACCAGTTGGAACTTTATTCAAGACCTGAAGACATTAGGTCTATTTGCATTTATTAAAGGGTTTGATTAAGGGTGGTTTATAAATTAACACTTGTTGGAAAGGGTGGTTGGTTTGTTTTTATTTCAGGTGAGGACCGCAGAGCCAAAGAAGAATATTTTTGTATGTTTATTGAATAAAATTTAATAAAATATTGAAAACAAATTATATCCTGTTGTCTTTCGTTCAACATTCAGATTAAGGAGCCCCACAATGTTACGCCGCTAAACATATAAAGCTGTAAGTCGTAACATTCAGAACATCAAAGTGCTGTCCTCCATGCCTCCCATCTGATTGTATGGGAGAATAAGGATAAGTAGTACATTGCACATATGATGATAGATTGTTACGCAATGCATGTGATAAAATTTATGGCAAATGCCGCAATATGTCATGTCAATGTAAACCTCGACATGTTTCTGCACATTATATTACCCGATTTCATGATTTGCTCTCAGTTTCAGTATTAGTCAATTTTGGGAATCACCAATGAATTCCATCATATGTATGTGAATACATACAAATGAATATGAAACTTGACATGTTTTCTGCACATTATGTTACCTGATTTCATAATTTGCTCTTAGTGTCAGTATTGGTCTATTTCGGGAATCACCAATGAATTCCATCATATGTATGTGAATACGTACAAATGAATATTACATTATTCGAGTGCTTATAAAATGTCAATGTGAAACTTGACATGTTTCTGCACATTATGTTTCCTGATTTCATAATTTACTGTCAGTGTCAGTATTGGTCAAATTTGGTAATCACAAATGGATTCCATCAAATGTAATTGAAGACTCCAGTTTGTTTTTCTTAATCTTCCCAATATCCGATGAAGGTTGGGAAGATCTGTTTATTTATTTATTAAAAGAGGGTTGCCTATTAATGTCTTTTGTATGTGATGGCTCCAGTTTGTTTTTCTTAATCTTCCCAATATCCGATGAAGGTTGGGAAGATCTGTTTATTTATTTATTAAAAGAGGGTTGCCTATCACTGTCTTATGTATGTGACGGCTCCATTTTGTTTTTCTTAATCTTCCCAATATCCAATGAAGGTTGGGAAGATCCGTTTATTTATTTAGAAAATATGGTTGCCTTTGAATGTCACAAATGTTGAATTTTTTATGACCATGATGAACTGACATGTTTCAAGCTGACACTTATAATATGATAATAGGTTGGCAACATGCATTTTAATTTAAGAGTTCAATTACAAATGATAAAGATGAAAAATTAAGCATGTTTGCTCCTAGCTACCATTTGATTATTGCTGAGTGGCAAAACATTATTTATTCTATTATATTGTAACCTATGGCAGAAAATGTGACGGGTCCAAAACCACCCAGGAAAATGAGGTTACGCAGTCAATCGATTCAACTGCTCCCTGTGGATTCAACTTTGGGCAACTCAGTTGATGCCAATTTATTAATGACTCAAGTGGCCGCTCCAAAAAATCAGCTGGCAGCAGCAATCTTAGACAACAGCACCAGGCCTTGACTCTCGGCAATGCTTCTACAAACAATATTGCATGAAAGGCTGCACAACAGATTTCGATTACCACTTCTAGTGATTCAAATAGTTGCAATTTGGTAAACACCCAATAATACTTGCATTGTTTTTCAGGTGAGTCGGTGGCGGATACATTTAACAGTAACAACAAATGTTTATTTCTAAATTTCCAAGAGCAAAATATTTTATTTTAGATAGAAAATAATGTTATTCAATTAATTCCTCAGTCAACTAGTATTAATTGTAACGGAGACCATTACAGATGTTCCCTAAATTCTCCCCCAAGTCCCTGCAGGCTTCATTAAATAAGACAATCCAGTATATTAGTTATTTTAGGGTTTACACACACGCGCAAGTACATTCATATACAGAATGACCAGGTCAAATTGTTTACACTTTTAATGCATTTCTTTTAAAGGCAATTTATCAGAAATATTTAAAATTGGCTATGTTAAATATATTTGTCAATTTACTCAATTTGTGTCATTGCATGTGCATGCATGCGCAGATTGACCATGTCATCTTGAGAACACTTTTAAAAGTGTTATTATATACTGATTGTTAAATCATTTCATTTTCAAAAAATACACATATAGATATTTATATTATAAATATATCTCGATATTTTGGCAATATAATGTATATCAGTAAATGAACACAATTTGTGGAAAATGTGGTTTAGGAATTAACTATCTTCTTATCTTCTTATTTGGTATTTGCGACCGTTAATGCTGATTTAACGGTCGCAAACTGAGTTTTACCGGCGACGCGTAAGCGGAGCCGGTTAAACTGATGTTTGCGACCGTTAAATCAGAATTAATGGTCGCAAATACCAAATTAAAATTTTAGTTATTCCCATTCGAATGCAATCAATGCATTTTGTCTGTTGTTTACGTCTTATTTTGCTGAATTTTGTTACATGAAATACGTCATGGAGCATTGTATTTTTGCGTTGCTATACTATGACGTCACAATGAAAAAGCTTTCACGCTCGTTAATGCTCGTTTTACTGCTTCAAACATCAGTGTATCAGCCAATCAAAGAGTATTTTACAAAACAATTGCATTAGAATGATGTTTTTCTACTTCTATTTCCCCTTTCATTCTGGTAGAAGGGACTTGATTAACATGATGCAGATCAGTATGATTTATTGTAGACACAAAGAGAAACTTATAAGGCCAAATATAAATATAGACTGATATATTTACCATCATTTGTCAGCTTAAGGCTGCAAAACTCAAATCCTATATTTAGGTACTTGTAATTATCAACTTTGGTTGTTTTAATTTATAACTTCATTGATTATGCCTGTTCAGCTGATTAGAGGAGCTAATTAATTCGTTTAGTATTCTTATACTCGTTTTACATTTATAGTATTGCCTGTTAATTAAAATATTAGTTTACATAAAATATAAAGAAGGAAATGTTTAATGTCATTTATTGTAGGAAAAAAAGCTTACATCAGATAATGAACAAATCAAAGATACAACGTTGAAAGTGTTCTGATCTACTTTCTTTGTCAACTGTAGATTGGATTGGTAAACTACATGAACATGATACAGGGAAGCATATCAATTGAGCAATTGAGTTAATTAATAATTACAAAGTGTGTGGTCATACGTTTTGTGTTTTTCTTCTATAAAATGTTGTGTATCATATAAGTAATTACTTTAACAAAGAAATTGTAATTTAATTAATTACTTTTCTGAATGAGAGTAATGGTAATTGTAATTGTAATGATAAAAATTCTAATTAAGTCATTGTAATTTAATGCAATACATTTCACGGTAATGTACCCCATGTCTGTTAGAAGGACTTGTTTCTATTTGCCGCAGAGGAATTCGAACCTGCTAACGTAATTCAAGAACAAAGCTTCTAATCACTGCAACACCAAGACGACTCGTTGGGATTTCTCTCACTGGCGCATGTGCATGCTGTTTGCCTATTTTTTGTCGGCCTTTTTAGCTCCAACCCAATGTAAGGGAGGTTTATCATGACCTTCTAGCAAACGAATACATTAATCCATTCGAACTTGGTCTTCAAAATTTCGATCTTTTTCTGATTGATCATCTATGGGACTTAATAGGAGATAGGATTCGAAATGACAATGATAGTGGCTTTCAACAAAGGGTAATGTTGCTGAAAAGGTTAACAAATATTATCATTTGTAGGAAAAACACACTGATGAACTCCATGCAAAGGAGAAATAAGATTGAGACAGATGCACGAAGGAGACATTGAAGGAAATTTGAATTTTCAATTTTCATTTTTGGGGGGTTTCGTCGTATCAGTTTCAATAACCTAA